TTCTTTGTTAAATGGCATTTAAATATATAAAATAAATATCAAAAATATAAATCTTTGTTTTACTATGGTTGCAAATATCAAAAAATTTCTATATGTGACATGGCACCAGAGTTAAGTTAGGGTTTTTCAAAATGCTGACACGCCGAGCTCAAAAGGTTCGCCATCACTGAAATAAAGCCCAAAACAAACAGCAATGTATAAAAAGAATATATTATGACCACATAAGTTTATCTCAGTATTAAAAGGCTGTTCAAAATTTAAAAATCAACTAACAAGCAAAACGGAGACAGATTCATAGACAGAGAGCAGGCTGACAAATGGGGGCTGGAGGTAAGTGTGAGGGATTGAGCAAAAAAGAAGGAAAAAAAGAGAAAAAACTCATGGGCACAGACAACAGTGTGGTGAGGAGGGATGGGGGATAAATGGTGATGCACTGAGACTTGACTTGGGGTAGTGAACACACAATACAGAAGATGTGTTGTAAAATTGTGCATCTGAAACCTGTATAATTTTGTTAACCAGTGTCACCCCAATAAATCCAATAAAAAGGTAAAAATTTTTTTAAAATATATTTTATTGATTTTTTACAGAGAGGAAGAGAGAGGGACAGAGAGTTAGAAACATCGATGAGAGAGAAACATCAATCAGCCGCCTCCTGCACACTCCCCACTGGGGACGCGCCCGCAACCAAGGTACATGCCCCTGACCGGAATCGAACCTGGGACCCTTGAGTCCGAAGGCTGATGCTCTGTCCACTGAGCCAAACCGGTCAGGGCTAAAAAAGTTTTTTTTAATCAATCACTAATTCACCACATTAACAGACAACAGAAGAAAAACACATAATCAATACATAGAGAAAAGGCATTGTTTTTTTAAATATATTTTATTGATTTTTTACAGAGAGGAAGGGAGAGGGATAGAGAGTTAGAAACATCGATCAGCTGCCTCTGCACACTCCCCACTGGGGATGTGCCCGCAACCAAGGTACATGCCCCTGACCGGAATCGAACCCGGGACCCTTGAGTCCGCAGGCCGACTCTCTATCCACTGAGCCAAACCAGTTAGGGCAGAAAAGGCATTTGACAAAGTTCACCTCTCAGCAAATTAGGAATAGAGGGAACTTTAACCTGATAAAGAGCATCTGTGAGAGGCAGTATATGCAGAATGCCAGCGTTCAAATCCCAGCTTAGCTACTATTTAGCTGGGTCACTTTGGGGGCCTTAGTTCCTTTATCTGTAAAGTGGTATTAAGTGATTTAGTTAGTCAATCAATGTAAAATGCTTAAAACAAACACACACACATAAAAGTCAACTGTGAAAAATCTATAGCTAACATTTCACTCTGATTCTTTCAAGGCAAGGATGGTCACGATCATCATTATTATTCAACATCATACTGGAAGTCATATCAAGTACAATAAGGCAAGCAAAAGAAATGAAAGATATATCTAGGGAAAGGAAGAAATAAAACCGTTTCTACTCACAGACATGATCCATGGGGGGGGCGGGGAGAATAAGCCTTGGACTTGTTGATTTTGGTGGTAGTTACACAATTCTAAGCATTTATAGAAACTCATAGAGCAGTACACCAAAAAGAGTGAATATTACTGTATGTAAGTTACAATTTTTTAAAATGTAAGTATTATTGCCCTAGGTCAGTGGCCGGCAAACTGAGGCTCGAGAGCCACATGTGGCTCTCCCGGAAACCCCACTTGGGTTCTTTTGGCCCCTTTGAGTGTGGCTCTTTCCACCAAAATACCGACTTCTGCGCAAGGCCCGAAGTTTCATTGCACTTTACCTGCGCGGCCGCACGTGGTATTTTGTGGAAGAGCCACACTCAAGGGCCAAAGAGCCGCATGTAGCTCGAGAGCCGCAGTTTGCCCACCACTGCCCTAGGTGGTTTGGCTTAGTGGATAGAGCGTTAGCCTGTGGACTGAAGAGTCCCAGGTTCAATTCCAGTCAAGGGCACATGCCCTGGTTGCAGGCTCGATGCCCCCTCCCCCGATACTCACCCAGTGGGGGACGTGCAGGAGACAGCCTATCAATGATTCTCTCTCATCATTGATGTTTCTATCTCTCTCTCCCTTTCCCTTCCTCTCTGAAATCAATAAAAATATATTTTTTTAAAAATTCAAACAATTCATGCCCTAGCCAGTTTGGCTCACGTGGATAGAGCATCTCAAGGGTCCCACGTTCGATTCTGGTCAAGAGCA